ATTCTGACCTAGTGGGATGGGCAGATACCCTTGGGGAGAAGAGGTCCTGCAAATAACCTGGCCCTGTCCAGTGTAGGGCTTTAAAGGTAATAACCAGCACCTTGAATTACACTCAGAAAACTGTTGGGAGCCAGTGCAACTCACACAAAAGTGGTGTAACTCAGGCAAACAACAGAGTACCCAGAACTGTGCTCGCTGCTGCATTCTGGACCAGTTGCAGCTTCTGCATGGTCTTCATGCAGAGTGCATTATAGTAATCCAGCTGGGAGGTGACTAAGGTATGAGTGACTGTGAGCAAGGCCTGCTGGTCCAGGAATTCTCTCTCCTCCCTACCATTTCCTAGTCCTTCCTTGATACATGTATGCAGCACATCCACACCAAAGCTATTGATAGAATGATATAGTGGGAAGGGACCTTGAAGGTGTTCTAGTGCAACCACTTGCCCAAGGCAGGAATCTTCATTCCATCCCAGACAACCTTTACCTGAAGACCTCCATGATGGAGCACCTATGACTTCAGGAGGCAGGCTGTTTCAAGGCTTAACAGTCCTCATAATCAGGAAATCCTTCCATATTTCAAGTTTGGATCTCCCTCAGTAAAGCTTCCTGCTGCCGATTCTTCTCCTACCTTCCGAATCCATACCGTCTTCTCTGACAGCCTTCAACTACTACTTCTGAGCTAACAATCAGTGCCTGTGCCAACCCAGAGTCAGAGAAGCCAGTTTGATCTGCGAACTGCGTTCTGTAGGATAGAACTGGGGGTTTCTGCTTTGCATTTTTAAAAGGGCATTGTTTGAATGGGCCTGGAAGCTCTGTAACTACTTGTATGAAGAAATCAGGGATATATCCCCCCACAAACAGTTACTCATTTCTTTGAATAAATTCTGTTTTTAATTACTGGGTTGATTTGAAAACCAAATAATCCCCAAAAGTGAGAGACATTGAAAGTACTCTTAAGTCTTTCTCTCTCACCAAAACCTATAATTATTTTTTCCATGAGATTTAGTATGGATTCCTATAGTTTGGGAATAAATTTGGCCTACTTATCCATTGGTCTGGTGTTAGATGACACATCAAACCAAGACCATTTTGGCCTGTACATCAGTGACCTTAATGATAATATTTTCAGGATCTTTTTTTTAACATTTAACATACATGTTATGTATTTAACATTAAATATATAAATGCATTCTTTTAAAGCAGAACATCAACTCAGTTAAAGACCTAGCAGCAGAACATGCTTTAATCTTATTATATAGTTTCTTGCTTAGCGTGTTGTAAAACCAAACCAGCTTAGTTAGTAGGGAGTCAATGTATTGTACATGATTAGAAAATGATTAATTCAGTAACCCAGTTAAGTGTATTGGATGAAAGTGGCTACTGCAGAGATAAAATTGTATGTGAGAAAGACCTTGAGGGATGGAGCAAAGAGATGCTGCCTAGGGAATGGTCAGATAAGAGATGGCATAGCTCACAGCTGCATAATGGAAGGAGAAAGAGGATCAGAAGGGACCATCCCTAACTTTTCAGGCTGTAAAGGAGACGGTGGGAGAATTGTACTTTTAGACTTGCAAGATTCTGTTAATGTAGCCTTACAATAAAGTAGAATTAGCTCATCCAGTTGTATTTCCTGTCTGGTCTACCTGGTAGGGCTGACAAGGTCTCAGTGGGAGCCAGAATCTGCTTTGGTGGGGTCAAGGAAGACTGAGCTTGCTTCCACACCATCAATCTGCATTTCATCTGTTTTTCACCAAGTATAGACGTGGATAGCTGTATGTGTGTGTGAGTGTAAAAAGAGAAGCACAAGAAAAAGAAATGCTGTCACTAAAGCAACCCCATTTTGCACCCTCTGTATCTGGAGGCCAGAGGTAGGATTAACCTCAAGTGATGTTGGGGGTTTTATCTTTCCTGACTTTCAGCTTTATCATCGGGCACATATTTGGCTTCAGTTTTTTTATGGAATATGAACGGTCACGTAAAAAAAAAAAAAAAGAACACAATTAGAACATGATTATGTGTCCCTTTTGACATAATGTCATGGGATTGGCTGTTGTATGTCCTGCACTAAAGGGTATGGGGCACATATGGAAGACATTGGGATAGAAGTATAGATTTGACCCTTATTCACTTGGTAAATATACATTGTAGAACGATCCCTGTCTGAAAATAGCAGGGAACCCTTTTTCCAGAAATCATGGACAGTTAAAACTATTAATACTTTAGATCAGCTTATTGTCAATCAATTTTTTTAAAACATTTGAGTTTAAAAAAAGAATTTTGAATGTTTAAAATCGTGAAATGGTAGTATATTCAATTAAAACGTCTCTTGATTTTGCAGTCTGGCCCAGATTAATTTGTTCTAAAACTCCCAAGTTACTATTAGTACTAGAATATGCTTTAGATGATACTAAGTCAATTGTATATTTTTACGAATAATTTTAAAAAGTCACTAGGGTGCATATTAGTTATTTGCAAGAACTCTGAAAGGAATTGGAATATCCCAGATTTATGAACCAATGGCTAAAGGTCTTAAAGGATATTAACTATATTTCTTATAATCAAAGACAAGACTAATTCAACAAAAGATTCTTTTCTACATTTATTGGATACTTCAGAGAATGCTTTTAACTAATATAATTAACATAATTATACTGGAAGTGTAAAATGTTTGTGAGAGCACTCGTTCATATGGTATGGGCTTATCCTACTACAGTGGAACCTTGGTTTACAAACTTAATTCGTTCCGTGACTCTGGTCACGACCCGAAGCAAATTTTCCCATAAGGTTCAATGTAATTACTGTTAATCCGTTCTGGCGTGGAGGACAGGGAGGCGGCGATTGCTTGGG